TACCGCAGAGCAACCCTATGGAGAAGCATAACACAGTTAATCAGCTGTCAACGCTTGCTTGCCTACATTTACAGGATGGATAAAATCAAGTCCCATGCTCTAAGGCTCAGCTGGTCACCTGGCAGCGGTATTTCTCCTTCTGTAGGTGTGCACATACATTTGTGCACAAAAGGTTGTGCACGTTCGCTATTTAAACGGAAGATGTGTCCAGGAGTCACCGAACAGCAGGACCCAGCTGGCCAAGGGCAGCCCCGGGGTTAAGCTGCCATCGGGCTCTGCCACCCGCGGTGCCGCCAACACGGGTCACTGCCGTTTGCCACGGCTCAGTGGCTGCTGTGAAGGCCGAGCACGGAAATCAAACACCAAACAGGACACCGGTTCGTTGCCGTTCCTGCCCCGGGCGGACTCCGCCGAGGGGTCTGTGCCAGCGCAGGCCGGTGGCTGCCAACAGCGGGGACCCGCACGCTGCAGCCGCCGGTGGGCGAGGGCGGCGGCGATCGGAGGCCCTTCCGCCGGCCGGCCCTGCCCGGTGCCGCCGCCCTTCCCGCCGGGCCGGGCAGGGCCGGGCCGGGCAGCGTCGGGGCAGAGGCACCCGCTGCGAAAGGGCAGTGCGACGCCCCCCGCGGCCGTTGCCGGGGCAGCCCCGCCGCCCCTCCCCGTGCCCCGCGGGGCCGGGCCGGGCCGTGCCCCGGGGCGGCGGCGCCGGGCAGCAGGGGACGCGTCCCGGTGCCCTTGGCGCCGCCGACCTCTCCCGCCCGGCCGCCGCCCTCCCTCGCTGCTCCGCTCCCCAGGCGCTGCCCGCGGGCCGTACCTGTCGCAGGGCGCGCAGCGAGCGGCCCAAGGCGCGGCCGAGGCAGCGGGACCGCCACAGCGGCACCATCGCGGCGGCGGCGGCGGCGGCGGGAGGGGCCGCGGGGCGGACACCGGAACCAGGCCCCGCGCGGCACGGAAGCGCGCGGGACCGCACCACTCGCCGCGGGACGGGGGGAGCGCGACCGGAGGGGCGGAACCATCGCGAGCGGGGGGCGCAGGGGGGGAACAGGGCTCATGGCAGGGGCGGAGGGGGTAATAGTAGTGTTCGTATGCGTCTCCAGATATGTAATAACAATATATATATATATAATATGTATGTATTGCGTATATACCTCTAAACACGTACATTTGTATATGTACATATTATTACATGTCATAATATATACTTGTAATAATAACTATACGTAATGATAAATAATCCTATGTATTACCAAAGAGTGCCGTTTCATGACACTCTTAACTGAACCGGCTTCGGATTGCTGGAGGGCGGCTGTACGAGTGGTTTTCCTGCTCACCTTGGCAAACCACGGGGCTCATGTGGAATGACATTGCCGCAAGCGCCAGCCAGTGGGATGTTGCATGGTTAGAAACGGGCAATGAGGTCATCTCCCTGGGGCAAACTGGCAAATGAGTCGACAAGTAAGCCCTGTTCCTCAGATGTGGTCTGCATGCTAAAAACCTTTGAGAATCCCCCAGCTAGTTTCTGTTTTCTGCCTGCTGCCAGGTGGGGAACCACTGGGGGGAGAAAACCAATGAACCTATTTGCAGAATCTGAGAATTAGCCTGGGATAGTTATAAAGTGCTGTCTTGCGGCCAGGCATCTCTCAAGGAGCCAAGTCTGGGTAATGCACATGTCCTTAATTTATCCATTGCTTAATAATATATGAATGGTAAACTGCAACCTTCAAAATATGGGATCATTTCCAAAGGAAAGAGATTGAATAAAAATCAACAGGGGATAGTCCCCGAGGCTTTGAGGATGAGCTGACTGCTTAAATAAAAGGCAACTGAACTAGAAAGGCTCTCTGCCATGGATTTCTCTATGCCTATCCATTAAATACCCTAAACACTGCCATGCTCAGTAAGCATGTGAAGGCAGCTGAAGCCCCAGGAGTGGCACATGTGGCTCAGCTTTTGTCCACCCACCTGCAGCTCCTACACGAAGTCAAGCACCTGACAACCTCACGTGCCCCTGGGGCAGGTAGTTTGTCTTGGGGTTGGTGTTGGGGTGTGCCCAGCCAGGAGGGATACCAGCTCTGCAGGCTGTGGCACTGTCCCTAAAGCACCCTGTGACAACAGACCTTGTATTGCTGCTTTTCCTGTGTTGTCCCATTTCCTGGCCATGTCCTATGCTGCAGACCTCCAGTTCAGCCAAAAGGCATTCGTGTACCCATGGTGGGGGATGCTGGAAATGCCTGGGCGCTTTCCATGGGAGATGGGTAGCACCTGAGCTCCAGGCTGGCTCCTTCCTTGCCTGTGGCACTGCTTGTCAGCCTGTGTATTTGCACTCACCAACGGTTCACCATCCTGGGTCTGGGATGGGGTTTCCAGGCTAAATTGTAGGGGGGATTTGCTCTTCTGGCTCTCTGCCCACTTGGGCAGCCAGCAGCTCGGCAGCAGCCCTTGCCTGTCTGACTGTGGGGGCTATGAGTGTGGGAGACGGCCGAGCTGCAGGGAAGGTGGCTGGACCCTGATGCTGGACCTGACCTCCTGGATGTCTATCTGCATATTCAGAAGTCGTTCCCAGCTGGTTGGCTGCCTCCGGCCTCCCCACTCCCTCTTTAAAGGACCTGAGTGCAGCAGGAGGACGTGCTGGCTCTGCAGCATCCCACGACCCCTGCCTGCAGGACAGTGTGGGACACTGTGGGACACTGCTCCCAGCACCCCTGGAGCCGAGGTGAGTGGGGTGGAGAGGTGCGAGCCACAAGGGTTGGGGATGGCCAGCTGAAGACAGAGGGATGCAGTGGCTGAGGAAGGCTCTGGGGGGGATTTGCAGTGCTGGAGGGGCGGCACAGCTCTCTCACTGAGGAGCACCTGGGGACCCCATGTGGGTTGGCTTCGGTTTTGGAGAGGGCACACTTGCCTTCTCTTCTAAGCATCTTCACTTCATTCCTCAGTCTTTTCCTTCAAGTAAGATGAGCCTCGGCCGCTTTTTAGTGTTCTGGAAGGTGGCACTGGTGAAGGCTGGTAGTAAGAGTAGGAACCGAAGCATGCATCTGCTAAGTCAGCCAGGAAAGCGCTGCATCAGCAGGCGCAGTTTGCCTGGGGCAGCACCTCCTGATCCCTGCGGTGCTGGGGAGGCTGTGAGGGGGAAATGAGGCCACCTACAGCGAGCTGCCACAGGCTGGGACCACAGGCTCTGCTCTCTCTCTCCCTCCAAATCTCCAGCAGAAAGATGGTGGTGCTCGAAACCCTAAGCAAGAGGAGGGCTCCTTGCCAGCTCTGAGTTGATCTGCTTACAAGGGGTGTATTGCCCCGGGTTCCTAGGGCTGGGAAGCCTCAGCACAGGGGACAGATAAGCTCCCTGACCTTGCTGTTGAACACACTAGACATGAGAAATTGTGAGCAAGTGCCAAAAGGTGTTTCTTTTACAAACCAAGTGAGGTAGCAGGACTAGCTGTCTTGTGCCTGTGCTATTGCAGAAAGGCTTAAGTGGGGGGATGGAATCTATGGCTGCAATGTTTTTGCTGTGTGACTTTCTTAGATGCAGCTGGCATTCTAAGAGGCAACTGCAGTCAATGGTGAAGCTTGTTACACAAGGGCCAGGCGTGATGCTGAGAGCTGCCGGCAGCCTGGCCTTGCACTGGCCACTGATAAACTGAGCAGTTTGAAAGCCCTCACAACAGACTGTTAGGAAAATGAAATCCTACTGGTCGAGAGGGGTGGGTAGACAACACAGGAGAGCAACAAATGGTGTCAGATAACCCAGAAAAGACTTAGTTTGCAAAGACTAGAGCTCTGGAAAAGGTAGAGAGCTCTCCCAGACACCTGCCCGGAATACAGAGCCGTTTGAAGAAAGGCAACCTACTAAAAAACAGTGAGAAGAAACCCATTTTCTACACTGCCTAGAGGACTCGCCGGGGAGCAGTCAGTCATGGGGACAGGAGACTGATGGTGTTGAAAATGATCAGACATTTCTGGGTAGCAAAAGAATCTCAGACTTTAAAGATGTCTGGAAAACACACAAGCTGTCCTATTTCAGTGGTGCAAAGCTACTGCTAATTAATGTGGATGTGGAAAAAGTATCCCACAGGAACAGTTACTATGTAATTGCCCAGGATATGAGCTTTTACACCTTCTTTTGCAAAACTGTCTGAGCGAGGGAATGAGTGGAGGGGTGAATCCCTGAGTGGAGTCAGCATGACAATTTTAAGCCTGGGGCTGCTGGCTCAGTAGTTTTTCTCTTCCCTGATAATCCCCGTTCCTTTTATTCATTGTTTTGCCTAGCACTTAGGAACCCCGTGCTGTGTTAGCCTGAACATCTCAGTGGGTTCCACTTGCAGTGGGTCACATCACACTTTTACTCTCACTATGCCCCTTTCCACCAGCCTGTTTGTGCTGGCCCAGCCCCCCAGTGCTGCCACCCATCCCCATGCCCTGGTGCCTCTGCTGGTGGGTGGCAGAAGCCAGCAGCAACCATGCCCTGGTGTGAATGCCTTCACCAGGGATGCAGCTGCTGTTCTGTGCTCTATCAGCACCCAGGAGCACCCAAACCCACCTTTGCCCAGGCATACGTGGCAGAGGGCTCCACCTGGTGCTCACCACCCTTGTACCTGAGTCCACAAGCTCAGAGGGGAGTTTCCTCAAATGCCTCTGGTGTGGATGCAGCTGGCAGTGTGTTGCCAGGCACATCTGGGGCCTAAACCAGGTAAAATGTACTCTGGGCACGATGAATCCCTGGCTGGTAGGTGGGAGCTGTGGCAGTGCCCAGGGCATTGCTGCTGTGATGTGACACCCAACAGCCTGCTCATAGGTTTTGCAGTGCTTAGAGGTTTCTGCCTGGGTCATTCCCTGGTGAAATAGTTTTTGCAGGGGAGCAGTGATGCTATGGAAATCTGTGAGGAAAAATATCTGGCCATGTGCATGGAGAACTGCTGTATGAGGTCCTGTTTCTTGCTCTTCAGTTCCACATTGCTAGCAGGCTGAAACATCAAACAGCTGGGAAGCCTGCTAGTCTGACACTGGAAATGATTCCCAACCAGCTGAAGGTCAGTTCTCCAGTGTACAGGCAGGAAGAAGACAAAATGGATAGCAGGACTGACTTTGAGCAGGACAGAGGCCGTGCCACTTCAGGGCATGGCCAGGAGCTGAATTTGGAGCCCTGTTTCCAGACTGACTCTCTCTTGCCTTCCTCCAATGCATCCCTCATATCACAGTTCCTCAGCCACCCGATGTTTGGCAGGAGCCTGGACTCCACCATCCTTTTCCCTTCCTCTCAGGCAGTGGCCCTGCCTCAGGATGAGCATGGTGCATCTCCTGGAGAAGGACCACAAGCTTTGGCTTTCCCCAGAACCCATGCCTCGGCTCCCATGCCCTGTGCTGGTGATGGGGACCAGCTCTCTAACCAGCACCTACGAGCCAAGAGGGCCAGAGTGGAGAGCATCATCCAAGGCATGAGCCTCCCACCAACCCCTCAGGCATTTGGCACCAACCTGGAGGCAGCTTTTAGGCATGAGAAGGAGAGGGGTGGTGAGATGCCCCGGGAGAACAAGAGGAAGCCGAAGGTGCCCCAGCAGGGTCTGGGAGTGGCTGGACGAGTGGCTCCCATGGGTGACAGCTCCCATGCCAAGGGCTGCCAGCAGCTGAAGGAGCAGCTCTGCTTTTTAGAGCAGCAGCTGAGGCGGCTTCAGGAAAAGTTCTACCAGGTCTGTGACTCTGGGGATGCTGCCCAAACCCAGGAAGATTCTGAGAAAGTGCAGCCACTTCCTGAAAGACCCAGAGACAGACAGGACAAGGACAGTGCCACTGTTACCAGCAACCCCTGCAAAGCACCGCTCTGGAGGAGCATCCGGGAGGTGCGTGGGCTGGAGGAGGACGAGGACAAATGTGACACAGGTGGCCTGCCCATGGCAGTGAGGGTCCTTTCACAGGCACTGAAGCATGAGTTGGCTGGGGTAACATCCCAGGTGGTGGACTCTGTCCTGAAGACTGTCTGGCCAAAGGCAGCCAGCCACCTCCAGCAGCAGCACAACAGCTGCCTGGTGCTGGGGCCAGATGCCAGGAGAGGGTATTTTGCTGGTGGGAAATGCAGAAAGCAACTTGCTAAGCCATCTCCCATGAATGCACCAGGCTCACTGGGCTTAGCCCAGGCTAAAGTCCTGTCAGGAGCTCTGGAGAAGAGCCCAGGCTCTCATGCTGGCTCCTCCAGTTCAAAGGGCATCAGAAAATCCTCTCAGATACCCAGCATGGGTTATTCACTGAGCCCAGTCACCCCTGTCCAGGACAGCCAGCTGTTGAGCCAGCTGTTGGACTACGGCCAGCACAGCCTCTGGGGCAGCAACTCTCATGGGAGTCCATCTGCTCTGGAGAGGGGTCCTCCAGAGCCCCTCAGCTTGCACTGGGGAACCGTCAAACTGAGGTCATCGGTTGTGAGACAGCAGCAGCACCATCCCCTACCCCTGAGTCCTGCCAACAGGGAGAGTCTGGCACTGCTGCCGGCTGGCAGGGATGGCCACAGTGAGCTGCCAGCTGTGATGGATGGAGCACCCTTTGCCTCGACTCAGATATCCTTTGGGGGCAGCTAGAGAGGTCCCCGGGGAATGTGGTCCCCTTGTCCTATGGAGCCACAGCTTGGCAAAGCCCCTGCCAGTCTCTGCAAGGCCAGGGTCCCTAATGCTACACAGGGGGCTAAAAGGGTGTGTGCAAGAAAGAGGTCCTAAGCCATGGAGGGTCACTGCTGGTCCTCAGGGTTGGTTAGATGCTGTAGTATAGCTGTGGGCATAAGTCAGGAGCTCCCAAGCCTGTTCTTAGGCCATACTAGTGGTCCTGTAATCCTATGCTACGAACAGGTGTCTCATGGAAATCCCTGTTCCCACTAGCCTGTACAGTGCCATGGGAGCATTCGCTTCTTCAGGGATGCTGAAGGGAAAGTCCAGTGGCTGCCCAGCCAGAAACTAGTCCCCTGTGCCCTGCTGCCAGGCTGTGGGGAGGACTTGTCATGGGCACTGGGTATGCATGTGTCAGGGCTGGTGCTCAGGGACATGCTGAGCTGGGGGACTGCTGCATGCAGGCTTTCCTTGACTCCAAGGCACATGCAGGACGCACTGACCCCCAGCCACCTGAAGAAGGCCAAGCTGATGTTTTTCTTCACTCGCTACCCCAGCTCCACTCTGCTGAAGACCTACTTCCTCGATGTGCAGGTAAAATGGCAGTAACCTGGGCTGGTGCCCCCTTGCAGTGCGGCACTTAGCCTGCGTCACTGGGCAACCATGAGGGAGGGCTGCTCTTGTGTTTCCCTGCCTTGCTGGCAGGAGCCAGGAGACAGCACCCATTTCAGCATGGGCTGCCCTGGAGCAGGCGCTCAGGGCTGTGGCAGAACTGGGTTGCCAGGTCTTCACTCTGTGCAACTGAGGTGTTGGAATTAAAGCACATCGTGAGTGTGTCTCCCCACTTCAGGGCAGCTGAGATCCAAATCTCAGTGGGGAGAGCACTGTGGACACCCCCGTGTCATTGTCCCAGCTGGTGTTTCGGCAGCCCTGAGGCAGAGTTGGGTATGGGCCAGGCCAGAATTGTGTGGCTGGGTTCATGGGGTCTCAGGCATAGGGGGCTTCAAGCTGACATAACCTATCCTCCTTCTCTACCTGGCAGTTCAGCCGCTGCATCACCTCCCAGCTCATCAAGTGGTTCAGCAACTTCCGTGAGTTTTACTACATCCAGGTGGAGAAGTTTGCCCGACAGGCCCTGCTAGAGGGTGTTGTGGATGCTTGCACCCTCCAGGTCTCTCGCGACTCAGAGCTTTTCCGTGCCCTCAACATGCACTATAACAAGGGGAATGACTTTGAGGTGAGGAGGGGGAGCTGGGGGATAAGGATGGTGGGGTTTGCGGGAATAAGGAGGAGCCAGGAACACCGTGGTGCCATGAGCTGATGGCCATCTTGCTGCAGGTGCCAGGGCGGTTCCTGGAGGTGGCCAGTGTGACGCTGCAGGAGTTCTTCAGTGCCGTCAGGGCAGGCAAGGATGCCGACCCCTCCTGGAAGAAACCCATTTACAAAATCATTTCTAAACTGGACAGTGACATCCCGGAAGGGTTCAAAGCTGCCGGCTGCTCCCAGGAACTGCTCCACAGCTGAGTCTCTGTGAAAGCAGCCCCAAGTCCTGTGTGCAGCCACTATGTGTTAAGCACCTCGTGAGCACTGTGTACAACATACATTATTCTGAGTATTCTCTCTCTGACCTGTAAGACAGCTCCTTGGGTGAGGCCTATCACTTGCCTCAGGAGCTGGGATTTTATGCTGTGTATTCTATTCCCCTGCTCAAAGCCAGTGGGGACCTGCAGAAGGAAGAGACAGAGATGAAGCCATCAGGTTGGAGCCTGGGAAATTGCCCTGCCCCGGCTCTCCCCGTGACCTTGGCTGAGTGCCTTCCTTCTCTCCTCCAGAGGGCCACAGACCAGAGCAAACAGCCCTGCTGTTTATAAAGCAGGCAGATGTCCTACTAGTGGGCAAAGTTTTTTTGGCATAGCAGACTGGCGGATGAGATTGGTCTAACAGCATGACTCGATTTCTGTCCAGATACAACACACTAGTGTCCAAAGAAAACAGATGGTGAATTCTCCAGCATTTCAAGCACCCCAGGGGGATAGCTGACTCTGGGAGTGTAAAACCAGTGTTTATTGTAGCCAGCACACATCATTCCCTCCTGCCTCTCCCGTGCTGTTTGAAAAGACCCTGTCCCTGCCCAAACAGCTGCAAACAGTGGCCAAGCAGTTGAGTGTGTGCTGGTTGCAGGACCAACTGCTCCCCAGCAGTGTCATCCGTGATGCTGGAAGAGAGCAGGGTGCACAGCTGGCACTGCTCAGCACTGCAAACAGCCCCTATCAGCCTGGGAGGACCTGGAAGAACAGCCCCACATTAAACACTCACTCATGTTCCCTCACATCATGTTTCTGCTGGCAAAACTGCCCCAAGTATCTCTCTGCTTTGCAATGTGCCCGTGATGAAAGAGGTGCATGCTAATTGGTACTCATCAGACCCTGTGGGTTTAACACAAGCTGGGGAGCTGGGCCCTGAGATCTGCAGCTGCATTGCTGTAGGGGGTGTAAACCCAAGGAGGCTTCTTTATCCTGTGACCAGGACCCAGTAGCCACTTTTCCACCTGATAGAGCATGGCAAAGCATTTTCTGTTAAGGGCACTCTAATCCTGACAGAGGTGGCAGTGGGGAGGGAAAGGCTGTGAAGAGGAGGGAGGTCCTGGGAGAGGCACAGCAGGAAGGCACTGGGAGAGCAGAGATGTGTAACTGTGGATGAGGAACAACATACACATGCAAAATTCCCAGGGAGCAGAAGACTGGGAGGAGGCGGAGATGATTTTGGGCGTGCTGCACAGTGTCATCTGGGTACTAGCGCACAGCAAATGACTCAGGAGGAAAAAAAATCACAGCTCCAGTATCAGAAGAGTGCATGGGGTGATCTGCAGGAGTAAGGAAGTGTGTGGTATCATCAGGGCATGATGAGGAGGCTCTGGAAGAGGGGCAGTTTTACACTGATTTCCCCCATGGTGAGTGTGGCCACCCAGATTTTCTGCCTCTGTTTGTATATTTATTTCTTCAAGTTTGTATATTTTACAACATCAAATTTACTTGACTCATTTTTAAATAAACACATGGTGTAAGTTACCCCTTTACATCCCTAGAGACCTATTTGATGACTTCACTTCTAAAGCATTACCCTGGGAATTTCTTGCTTTTTGTTGGGAAAAGACTAAGACTGCAGCAAAAGGGCTTAGTCCACCTGCTGGCATCTCTGTGGGGCTGAGCAGCCCACACTAACCAACATTAGCTCCTTTAAACCTGCCTCTCCCCCACCCAGTGCCTCGTGGTCAGTCTGCTCTGAAGTGAAACTTGTTGGGAGGATCGGGAATGGGGGGCTGGAGGCAGATGGAGACATATCTCAAAGCTCAGGGGTGCCAGACTCAAATGTTCAACATCCGTTAAGTGCTGCTGGTGCTGTTCGTGCAAGCAATAACTACCTCAGAGCTTAAGTAATGCATTGGGTAGGCAAAACCAATACTGCTGGAAAGGGAAATGATGGCCTGGCTCAGGGAAAGGTCAGTAAATTCATCTGGCCACTTAATTAGGGAATATAAGATACAGGTGTACTGGAGGCATCGTGCTGAAACAAAGCCTTTTTTTACAGAGTCCCTGCGGGGAGCAGTTTTGTGCTTCCTTATTTTGAAGACACTTCTTTTGAAGGCAATGGAGCCTAAGGCATGAGGGAAATAGGGTGTGAATTCCACAATGTCCAGTCACTAGTGGGGGTCTGTGGGACTCCATCTTAGACCCAATTCTCTTCAACATTTTCATTAACAACTTGGACACAGGATTCTAGGGCATACTATGTAAGTTTGCGTATGATGGTAAACTGGGAGAAGCTGTCAACTCCCTCGAGGGCAGAGAGGCCCTGCAGAGAGGCCTTGACAAATTAGAGAGATGTGCACCTGGGATGGGGCAACCCTGGATGGTGTGTACAGACCATGGAATGAGAGGCTGAAGAGCAGTGCTGCCGAAAGGGACCTGGAGGTCCTAGTCAATGGCAAGCTGAATATGAGTCAGCAGTGCCCTGGCAGCCAGGAGGGCCAACTGTGTCCTGGGGGGCATCAGGCAAAGCATCACCAGCCAGTCGAGAGAGGGGATTGTCCCGCTCTGCTCTGCACTGGTGTGGCCTCACCTTGAATACTGTGTGCTGTTTTGGGCACTGCAATATAAGAGATATTAAGCTACTAGAAAGTGCCCAAAGGAGGGCAACAAGGATGATGAAGAGTTTGGAGGTGAAGCCATATGAGGAATGGCTGAGGGCACTTGGTCTGTTCAGCCTGGAAAAGAGGACACTGAGGGGAGATCTCATTGCAGTCTACGATTTCCTCATGAGGGGAAGTGAAGGGGCAGATACTGATCTATTCGCTCTTGTGAGCAGTGACAGGACTCGAGGAAATGGCATGAAGCTGAGTCAGGGGTGGTTGAAGTTAGATATTAGGAAAAGTTTTTTTACCCTTTGTAAAAGGGGTTTGGCATTGGAACAGAGTTCCCAGGGAAGTGGTCACAGCACCAAGCCTGTGTGAATTCAAGAAGCATTTGGACACTATAACGACACTTGTGACTCAGGCTTGGGTGGGCTCTTGCTTCCCTATTTCCCACTAATTACAAGGGGCTGCAATTTGGGTAGTGCAGTCAGCTACTGTTGACTGAGTTTTATCTTTAAATAAAAAAATCCTTTCCTTCCCTCTATCCAAATTTCTGTGGTATATGCAAAAAGCCCACAGCCACCTATAACTGTATCCTCTGGGAACAATTCCTTGAGGCTATCCCTTTACATTTCCAATAGCATTAAAACCCAACCACAGCAATGCACTCAGTCCATACAGCTGAACAGTAGCAAAGACTGCCAAACATTAAGAATTGCTGACTCCTGCTCCAGGCTGTGGAAGCCAAAAGAGGGAGATGTGACCACACTGACTAAGCTGACAAGGGCCGAGAGCCCTTACTTACTTACCTATGTAAATATTTACCATGAGAGCCCTTATTACTCATGTACAGCTAATTAGAGCTTTAAGAAGTTCCTAGCGAATGTTCGCCCTGTGTGTCAAAATAGCTTTGGGGAAACTGACAAGCAATAAAATATACCTGGATTTTATTTTCTTCCTTTAATGACTTGGACCTGTCTACAGTGACTGAACAAGTCCTAGAAACTCCCAGTTTAAGCAAATGTTTTTGAAAGGGTCCTTCTCTCAAATACACATCTCAGATCCTTATTTGGCATGAGGGAAACTCATGCTCCAGATTAGCATCCCTTGGTGAGCCTACTCATAAGACGTTGCTCAGCAAAACTTCTGTCCCATTATACGCAGATTAAGGTCAGATTAATCCAGATTACAGTAAAATTACCACGTTTGAGAGATCAGACATCACTTTTCATCTGGAGAAGACAGCACCTCCTCTGCCTCTTGTGCACAAAGCTGCCCTGTGTCGCGGCACCACTCCGGGGGAAGGTGAAACGATGCACAGAGAGACGGTGGAGACAGGGGCCACCAGGGCAGACTGGTATATCTCACTGATAGCAAAAGCTTTTTCCCTTTGCACACCATCAAATACAGTATTAATGTAAACCATGGACCATGGGAAGGGAACTGGGGCTGTGCCAGGTGCCAGCTTCACAGCAGCAGCTACATGAGCTGTTCTCCCTCGACTTAATGAAAAGCTCCATTTTAGTGAGACAGTGGCAATGGAGCCATAGTCAGGGCTGCATCCTCTTTTTTGGGGTGCCTCGGCTAACCAGCCTGCTGTAGCAGCTCCGGTGGATGCACAACAGCTCAGGTGGAAAGATGAGCACAGTGAAAATGGGAGCTGTTTAACTGAGAGCTTCACCCAGCCAGGGCAGCGCAGGTGGGCACTGAGACAGGGAGGCCGTTGCGTGGCCCAGGGGCTTTTGAGGAAGATACTTACTCTGAGCAAGGATGCACAAAGGAGTGAGAGCACAGCCAGCCTCTGATAGAAGCTGCAAGCACTTTCCTCCACCACCCAAACCCCACAGGTTGGTGCTCGCCTTGGCGGGGGCAGCTGGGGTGGGAGAGAATGAGAGGCAGGCTGCCAGAGAATAAGCACACATCTTTGCATATGTAAATCCCAAACCAGTAAATCCATTTTTAAAAGCAGGTCTGATATAGAATGCTTGAGAATGGCTATTCAAGTAAAGCCAAGGA